CCCATCGGTAGGTCTGGTCGAGACATTTCCGAAACTGTGCCGCAATCGGGTCTCCGTCACCGGCAACACCCTCAAAAACGAAAAAATAGGCCTAAATTAAAAAAAACCCACTCAATCTTCAAAAAAGGGGACCGACCGACAAAAAATTTTTTATTCGCCCCATCGGTGGTCTGGTCGAGACATTTCCGAAACTGTGCCGCAATCGGGTCCCCGTCACCGGCAACATCCTCAAAAACGATTAAATAGGCCTAAATTCAAAAAATCCACTCAATCTTCAAAAAGGGGACCGACCGACTAAAATTTTTATTCGCCTCATCGGTGGGTCTGGTCGAGACATTTCCGAAACTGTGCCGCAATCGGGTCTCCGTCACCGGCAACACCCTCAAAAACGATTAAATAGGCCTAAATTCATTCAACAAAATCCACTCAATCTTCAAAAAAGGGGACCGACCGACAAAAAATTTTTTATTCGCCCCATTGGTAGGTCTGGTCGAGACATTTCCGAACTGTGCCGCAATCGGGTCCCCGTCACCGGCAACATCCTCAAAATCAATCATCAATTGTCATCAAGAACATATAAAGCCCCAAAATCCGACTGACTGACTCCCTCACTCATCAATCAAGAACCTATATAGCCCCAATCCAACTGACTCACTCACTGACTCACTCACTTATAGAAATGTTTGGGGTCAAGGAGTGGTCCTAGAGACGTGCGGGTTTTTTCATTCGATTCCAAATTTAATGGATTATTTGAGAAACATCTCAAAAGTTGAAAATTTCTCACTGTTTCCGAGCAAACCTACTCAATCTTCTAAAAAGGGGACCGAATGACAAAAAAATTTTATTCGCCCCATCGGTAGGTCTGGTCGAGAATTTCCGAAACTGTGCCGTAATCGGGACCCCGCCACCGGCAATTGGGCAATCATCATCATCAAGAATCTTTATAGCCCCAATCCGACTGACTGACTGACTCACTCACTCATTTACTCACTCAAAAAATGTTTGGGGTCAAGGAGTGGTCGTAGAGACCAAAGGGTTTTTTTTCGTTTCACCTCTATCCTTGTCAAAGCAGTCTTCAATATTTCCGGACCTTGTATGCACCCATTGACTGCCACAGTAGCCAATGCAATACAAGCTATGTATTTGGGCAGTAAAAGTAGCCTTATTATATGGTCAAAAGCGGTTAAATAGAGCTTTCAAAGAAGCAGGACATTTACTTCCTTAGAAAATTTGCCTTTGGTCACCACGGACTTACTAAATACTCCGGCACGCGCTCCACACATGCGGGGGTCTGGGGGCGGAGCCCCCAGCGAGCAGCGCGAGTCGATTCCTATGCTTGAATCGAGTTTCTTGGACCCACCTGGTGACTGCAGGGCGTGCGCGCGCTCGCATCCTGGCCTCCTAGAAGGTCCTCGAAGTGCCCCATCCTCTACAAAAGCATGCTTTACCGAGCAGATATCACCCCGGTTCGAGTGCCAATCGATTCCTATGCGTGAATCGAGTTTGGTGGACCCACCTGGCGACTGCGAGGCGCGCGCGCGCTCGCATCCTGGCCGCCTAGAAGGTGTAACATTGTAACTGAAGCACAACAACAAAATTGTTTTATTGACAGAAAAAAAAGGAATATTTGAGAAACTATATGTCAGAAAAAAATTTTCTGTGAATATTTTTTTAGAAAGTCATCACACAAAAATTGAAGATTTGTTTTATATGAATTGTCATAAGCAGGAAACAAAGAAAAAACAAGAAAGAGAGCAAAATTAATACAGATTTCAAATGCTACAGTTGGCTAAACTGTTAAACAGGTTGCAAACCTACTGCGCATGTCCAAAAACACTCTAATCAAGAAGTATAATTGGATAGTTCTACCCGAAAAACTGCGTTCGAACCGACACCAATTCTATTGTTGCATCTTGTCTACCTGCAGTCAAAGAAATTTTTCATTTCGAACGTGCTGATTTCTGCTTTTGGAGTAAGCTGTACAGACCCAAAAAGAAAGCTCGGCTATTGGTCGCCGCCCCGGCTCGGCTCCCCCCACTCCCTTTTTTTTCCTTTGACGAGTCGAGTTTTGCCATGGAAACGGCGATTTTGACAGCAAATTTCTCAAAATTGGCCACCAACTTTTTAACCAGATTTCAGCATGAGAATCGGCGTTCAAAGTTCTACAAGTCTGCAAAGTCTCATTAAAATCGTATAGAAAATTTCCGAAATGCATAAAGGGCCACACAAATTGAATCTCGGGCCGGCTGAATCCTGGGTATACTATAAGGCTACTTCGTGCCTAAAAAATTCTTCGACACTTGTCGTAAGAGTTGGGTGACCAGAAAAGGCGCATGCAAACATTAGTCCATGTTAGATGATCCACTCACTTGGGGGTTCATAACAAAGACCTTTACGACATGCTGTCGGTAATAGAAGAATATTTTACATTAAAATATCAAGTAGATTAAATTTATCATTTTTATCAAATTTGATGCAAATTTTCACCCACACCTCACCTTAACTGTGGGACATTTTGTCGCTGCATAATGATATTTAGACAAGGAACGCCAGACCGCGCGTTGTGCGCAGATCATACCACGCCACTTAGAACAGTCAGACTACGATAACAACACCTAGCGTCCCAATGTCTTGGTGTTCTTTTCGCAGAATGATACAAGCCCGCGGGCATCGGGAAAAGGCAACTCAGCATTGCTTCCGCGAACACCGTTCACAGTCATTGTTTGGGGAATCCTTACATCCTCAGCCTTTCATTGGCTTCGCTAAACAAAACAGTCTAAGATGTAAAGAAAACTAAAGGCGAAGCCTTTATGGAGCGACACCCAGTGTGTGTGTGTGTGGACGGGATCACGCGGCAATGTAGGCAACTTTTCCTGTGAAGCCGAAAAAAACGTTTCTCAGCAATAACCGAGAAAGTGCAAATAAATGAAACTGCACTGAAAATCTACTGGCGTGACTTCGTGCCGATGCCGGGGCGTGAATGAAGTGTCACGCAAAAAAACGGCATGACAGAAAAGTCACGCCAAAAATCGGCGTGACTCAAAAATTCACGCCAATGTTTGGTGTGAATTTCTTGTTATGCCGTTTTTTGGCATGACTTGTCTCTTAAAACGCGTTGTCATTCACGCCAAATGACGGCGTGACTCACATGTCTCTTAAGGGGGGACCCTGGTGAAAAAATCGCCAAAATTCCAAAAAATAGAATTTTCAAAGTTCATAGATAAAAATGTGCATAGAAGGTTTCAAATTCAACAGGTGTTCAACCTTTAAGCTAAGTGGGTAGTTTCTTTATCATTTGGAAGGAAATAACATTGAGATCAGTTGTCGTTGGCTTCTACGCTCAACTTCACAGCTTTGCTCAGTCGACAAAAAAATTTGTCGTAGAAAGACTTCCTGCGTTCCTGGTTGACACCTACATGGGTCGTCTTGCATGGACTCTATTCATTGATGACTTGTCGACAAATTTTAGTGACGGAATCTTGATATCAGCCCTACTTTTTTTTAAACACACCTAAAAGTTTGAAAAACGGGAAAAAAATCACTTTTTAATTAATGTTGAAATTTGAAAACTCATATCTCAGGACAGAAGTTGAATTTGAAAATTCCGTCACTAAAATCTCTTCTATACATCTTTAGGATAACCCCAAAAAATTTTCAAGACTTTCCGTCCCAATGAAAGACGCAGGAAGATTTTTCCCCAACACTCCAAAAAACACTAAAAAGCCACTTTTCTCAGAGACCGTTAAACATTTTGGGTTGAATTTTGTTTTGGGAACTCACCATAATGAACCTCATAATTAAGCAAAGTTTCAACTTTCTGGGATTATTTTGAAGCCTACTTGAAAGTTTCACCAGGGTCCCCCCTTAAACATTAATGATCTATAGTTGAGTTTATTAAGTGTAAAACCCAAGAGAAATGTCAGACTACTGTGTGCAGACAATTCAAATCTTATAAATATGGCAAAAACTCACCAGAATCTGGAATTAATTTGTAACCCTATCCTATAAGATATTGTACAACTCCTCTGCAGTTTGAATCTGATCTGTAATATTTCAAAAACGAACTACATGTGTATTTAACTAATAAAGAGGGAGGAGGACTGTGTTGATAGCATTTGCGAAGGGAGCAGAGGAAGTGCACAGCACGAAATTCCTAGGTATGTTTATAAATGAACACTTGTCAGGGGCTGAACAAGTGGCCTATATGGAATCATGCAGGGGTAAATTCAGAGATCTTAACCTATTAACTGTTCCAGCCCTGAATGTACTCAGCTGCATTAATATAGTGGTTGACAGATATGCAGAACTCTTTCAGAATTATGAAAATAAATACAAGCTGAGAAGGCCATACGACTTTGTACTAGAGACTGATAAGGGAAAATTTGCCGAAAAAAGAAACAATTTATAGTGGTATAAGGTTCTTTAACAGACTGCTCCAGGACCTGAAGCACTGGTAATAGGAGATAGAAAGTTATATCTATTTTGAAGTGGAGTTCCCCTTAGATGGTAAGTAGGATTTGAGTCAAAGAACTTGGTTCAATGCTGCAACCCATTCCTGAGTACAATAATAGGATAAACACTCAATAGACCCTTTGAGTCATCGCCGTGTAAAGAAGAAAAGTAATCATAAAATTCTGGAACCAGTAGCGCGCCATCTAGCGGTGGTCCATGTAAACTGTCAAAAGCTGAACCCTGCACTCTCAGACTATTATTGACTTTTTGTCCTTTGTTAAAGAGTTTTTTATACAGCAATAAAAAAGTACTATTTCCTCAATATTTATGTAGGATTTTGTACGTCACATTGACATACGCGATTGACTTGAAAAATAGTCAATAATTGATGACAATTTTGTCTTTATAGTGAACAATATTGTACATTGTTACAAAGGAAATACTACATATTATTGCTGCTTAAATAACAACGTAAGCAAAGGACAAAATGTCAATAATTGAGAGAAAAAAGTCGATACGAGTCTGAGAGTGTGATTGGTCACGATTGGTCGACGAAGTTCACAACAGTCGCCGCTGGTGGCGCTCAACTGGTTCCTGCTGATTACTATGTAGGTTTTTCTCGCCAGCGCACGAAATTAAACATGCACATCCTCAGATTCTTATGATGAAAGGGCCATCGTAACAAACGTTGAAATGAGAACATACGTACTACAATAAAATTCATGCGTAATACGATGAAATTTATGCGTAATACGAAGATATACATGCGTAATACGATGAAATTCGTGCGTAATACGATGAAAAATTGAGCATATTACGTATGTGCAAATTTATGCGTACCTTACGATGAAAAACCATCGTAATGTGTATAAAAACGATCATAAGATGTTGAGTGTGCACTTCAACACTGGTAAAACTAAAGCGTAACTCTATGCTTGAGTCAAGCATAAAGTTACGCTTGAAGACGTTACGCTTGAAATCAAGCATAGGCTAGAAATTCCCCCATGCATTTAGATAGGGAAAATCTTGCGGATGAGCCTGTTACGCTTGATTTCAAGCGTAAACTGATTACGCTTGAAAACAGTGGGTAAAACTACACTCTACCAAAAATGTCTTGTAAATGCCGTTAATTTATTACCAGTTTTCACTGTAGGTCAATTCACAGCGTTTACTGTGATCTGCTCACGGGATTCACTGTGATCTTGTTCACGGTGTTCTCTGTGATCTGGTCCCCAGTAAACACTGTGAGTTTGACGCCGCTGAGCACCGAAGTACTGCAAATCAGGCTCCAATTCGCGGCGTTTACTGTGGCTAGATCACAGTGAACACTGTGACCGAGATCACAGTGAACGCCGTGAACTAGTTCACAGCAAACGCCGTGAATTGCATAACAGCAAACATTGGTAATAAATTAACGGCGTTGACAGGACATTTTTTGTAGAGTGTACGCTTTAGTTTTACCAGTGAACGCACGAATTAGTGCGCGACAATGCAAGATTTTCCGTATACTTGCGCACGAAATCGTGCATTGTCGCGCAAAAATTAGCGCGTTACGAAGTGCATGTTTAATTTCATGCATTGGCGTGCAGAATACATAGTAACTTAGCGTGCACGCCGACAACTGAAAGGGTCTATTTGGAGATATGTCAGCCTGTTCCCTTCCTCTGCTTCCTGGATAACTTTCTGAAACGTTACGCCCTCACGCCCCCCAGCCACCCCCCTGACGCGGCGTCACGCTGGGGGCTCACCATTTCCTCACGCAGCGTAACGTAACGCTAAACAAGGTAGGTGTACGCCAGACCATGTCTTCGCGATGCGCAGCCGGTTACGACAATCTATGTCTGGCGAATACCTTGACCTGCGGCGCCTTCTGCTTACCTGCGCAAGCCGTCACAAAACATCTGCACGTGCGCAGTTTAGCTCTTGGGGTACTTCAGTTTCAAAATTCCTAAGAGAACCCTACTCAAGTCGCTACTTACACCAAAGCATCGAGGAAAGAAGGAACTTTAACGCTGGCTACAACTTAGATTAAGACGATTTTTACATCTGGTTCGGGTGCTTCTTATTCCTCTCGTTCTTCATTCTGTGTTCTGCTGGTAGTATGTTCACACCCTTCCCAAGGTTCAATCACTATGGAGCGTTCTAGTCGTCACCGATCAAAAAACAAGAGGAAGAAGTACTTTCGTAGATCCTGAACCGGAAGCAAGCAGACCAGCAGACGCCAAATTGGCCGGAAACTAACCTCCCTTCAGATCTTAAACTAGCCGAACTGTACAAATATTGCTCGCGAAACACATATGCACTGCAATCAAGTATCAAACGACTGTTTATGTTCAAGTGTGGCCGATACGTTTGACCAACGTCTCTTTCCCATGTCAAGTTTGGATCTACTTCCGCCAACATGGCGTCTGTGTGCTTCCGGTTCAGGGATCTACGAAAGTACCCTATTCAAGGCGTGGACCATTTTGGTTCACGCTTTGAAACGTGGACCACTGGTTGGTCCACGCCTTGAAGCGTGGACCCGGTTCACACTTGGATTAGCAGTGTAAACACTGCAAGAAAAAGTGTGGATAGTACAACAAAAGTACAACAAAAACTGTACAATAAAAGTATATCAGGGATTGTAGAAAGTACAACGAGAATTGTACAAACCACAACCAGCCCTGTACTGCCCAGCACTCGTCATGCCGGTTCCGTTGTACTTTGTACAACAATTGTTGTACTTGAAAAGTACACTAAATCCCTGTTAAAAAATTTGCCAGAAATTTGTGTACTTTTGTTGTGGTTATTTTCTGCAGTGAACCGAAACTTGCGCCCTTAACTTAACCTCGCAGACTCTTACAAGTGAACTACTTCCAGAGTTTCCCGAAGCGTATCTCCTCCATAAGCACTTTCATCTGTTTCAAATTCTCTCTTAGAAATTTAGCATATTCGACTTCGTCCTTAAGCCGGGCTCGCTTCCTACTCCCTTTCGTCCCGGCTTCCGGTTAAGTTATTCCTCTCGTTTCTGAATCGGTCATGACCATAATGCTCTAGTCCCGCCGTGACAAGGCTGGGATTCGTTTACGCCCACGTGGCTCAGTTTCGGTACCTTTGGTAGAACGTTTGCGTATATTGTGTTAATTGGAGGTTGGGGCTACCTGGCGATAGGCGGGCCGTGTACATTTCACACGAATCTGACGATCGTGGCAAATTAGAATCGTTGGTACTCCGGAGGAAATCTCGACCGGAAGTCAGCGACAGAACGGGAGCATCAAAAGAGCGTCGTGAGGCAGTGCAGGAACGGTTAGGGGACCACAAATCGGCGCGGCGCAGGTCCCCTTCCGAGCGCGCCCGAAGTCCCCCTCGCCGAGCGCGGCCCGAAGGCAAGCCCGAAGGTCCCCGTGGGTATTCCGAGGATGGGGATAACCCCGGACCCTCGGGGGGCTTAGTCACTCAAGTAGAGTTGTCGAGCGCCTCCCCACCAGATGTCACCGTGGCTCCGGGGTACCACCTCTGCCCACGGCCTCTAGTATTGGTGGTTCGAACACTGGCCTGTTTTTAATTTTTCGGTTTCACCCATCCTTTTTAGTTATGTTCAAATTTTAGGTTGGACAATATGTCTTAAGAATATTAAGGTTTGGTTTATATATGGTACGTTAGGTTACGTAAAGTTGGTCAGGTCGCAAGTGACCGAAACTTGTCGCGACTATAGCATGAAATATTTTGAGAATAGAGTAGGCTAAGAACTGTTGACATTAGAAATAGATCTGCCGCGATGAGAATAAGATCTGTAGCGAGCCCGTTTGGTTTTGATTAGGATAGGTTGGACAAATTATTTTAAAAATATTAAGGTAGCCTTCTGTCCACACCAACATACTACAATTTCCTTCTGACGAACATGCATTTCCATCTGCAGCAGAATCTAGCTCTGCATCGAAGCCGAAGATCTTCCCCTGGCTAATAGATGTTAAAACTATTAGCATTTAGGTTATTTCGATGATTATGGCTCCTTCGTGCCCCAGGTTGCCGTGCTCGGCACGGCACAAAGTCCCCTTCGGCTCCGGCCGCTCGGCACTCTTCGGCACCGCTCGGCTCGGCCGCCAGGGGGACCTGCGCGGCGGCGATTTGTGGTCCCGTATCAAGACGTGGCAGTGCGGAGCGGTGGTGGGGGCCGGGATGGGCAGAGTGGGGGCAGCGTGCGCGCGCCGCCTTCACCCGGTCTAGGTTTTCCCCGAAGTACCCTTATAGCTCTAGTCCTATTCTTTTTACGCCAAGATTTATTCTCGCTGACAAGGCGTCTTTCGACTTCCGGTATGGAGATGCCCTCGCTGCAGACTTGAAGTTCACGTTAACGGAAGATCTACTGTGTCTTCCGGTCTCGTCGGCCAGCCAGCAGGGGTGTGCGAATCGCTAAATTTGCCTTCGAATGTACTTTGTTTTATGTGGCCCCAGTAGAATCGTATATGCCTTTTTCTCCGAATCAAAGCCGAATATCTCCATAACATCGTCGAACTCTATCTGACTACTGCCACATTTCTTAAACGCCTTTCTCTATAAGACGGCATTTCGAACAATTTGTACAACCCTACTGAATGGTATTCTGTCCTTTAATCATCGAGCCATTGTCACCGTTTAAGTCATTGTCAACGTCTTCACCTCACAACTGATTTAGGAATAGGGTAACTTTAGATCCCTGCCACCGGAAGTCAGCAGTCAAAATGGTGGAAGTGGGACGGAAATCCAAGTTTATGAATGGCACGGGCTAACGGGAGATGCAAAAATTACCGGTTACTGTGAATATTTTTGTTTCGTTTTATTTGGACTGGAATGACCCATCTATAACGTCATTTAATGATATCGATGCATGACGGAATTTTTCTTTTCTTGTTCTAGGTAGAATCAGGTGCAATCTGTCATTGTTGGTACTTCGCTTTTCAAGTCGCGATGGAAGACTCAGACTCCTCAGATGGATCGACGGACGACATGCCGTTGCCTTTACACCTGAGTGATGAATCTGGTAAGTAATGTCTCTCCCACTGTGGAACGGGATTAGTGTGACTTCGTGCTGTTTCGGCATGAATAAAGTAGCACGTTCAAAAATGGCATGACAGGAGTCTTTTGTCTTAAGTTGTAAGGGATTCTTAAGGAATGCAACAAAAGCCACTAAAACATTTCACTGCGCGCAACTTTCCTCCGGAAGTTTTTAACTTTTTAACCTGTTTATCGACTGGTTTGCGGCATCTTGTAGATAAACAGTGCTATTTACTTTGGGTCACAATCATCCATGTAGCCGAAGGAAAACTTTTTTGAAAACGGAACCAAACATATTTAACTTTGGTTTATATTCACGTTTTCCTTGCGTCCTATGCGTGGTTGTAGACTAATGTAAGGATAATCTTTTTTATCTTCAAGATGCTGCAGACCGATTGCCGAATGTTAAGAACTTCTGGAGGAAAGTTGCGCGCAGTGAAATATTGTATGTTTTGTTGGCCTTTGTTGCATCCCCTGTACCACTCTTACAACTGTAGCCGAGAGAAATTTTTAAAAGGAAATGTTGTGAAAATTCTGTTCTCTTATTTGGTTTTAGTCATTTAAGAGACACATTTAAATCTACCCAAAGAGGGGGTATGAAACTCTTAATACGGTACTACCCCTTAAGAATTACTATTGTTGCACTGGTAGCCAACGAATGTGACGTCATACTCGTTCGAATGTGAATTTTGTCACGTTCGTTTGAATATGATGTCACATTCGTTTGAATGTTGATTCGCGTTCAAACGAATGTGACATCAAATACAAACGAACGTTGACAAAATTCACACTGCAATGAATATGACGTCACATTCGTTGGCTACCAGGGTGAGTGGGTACTAGGCTTATGTAACAGTCGCGCTGGCTGGCGAAGTTATCTGCTCCGAGGTAAATGTGCTGAGAACTCTCTCGGTATAATCTTTTTGAACTACCGTAACTGCTCTCTAATGTAGGCATGAACAGAAGCTGGGCGCCTTTGTCGCTTGCTCCAATTTTTCGGGCGCCGAACGTCGTCCAGTTTCGGGGCACCTTTCTCGCCTAGTGTTAAAGTGCACAAACCACCCTGCCTCTAGTCTTATCACGTGGAAGAGCGAACACAGGTGCCTAGTTTCAGGTCGACTACGGTACGCAGATGCCTGGCACCTTTGGCTGTGGCGAATCATGGGTGAAGGCAAGCTGCCTTCAGCACCCCCCTCCCCACACCCTAGGTCGCCGAAGGAGACCAAAATTTCGGCTTTTACGCGGATTATTTCTTTGGTTTGATGCGTAGGCGTTGTTGATGTAATTAATCAAACTTAAACAATGTGAGTACACAATGTACTATGTACTTGAGATACTTGCCGTACTGCTTTGATGCAACACTAGAAAACTGACAAGCTTGCCCCCAAGGATGCAACACGTAACGCCCCCCTCCCCCTCCTTAAACGACTCCAGTTACGTCCCTGTTCGGGGCATGCCTACTATTTGCAGTGTAACTGTGTCCGTGTTTTGAGTTAAGCAACATTCTAATTGTAGCTGCGACATCGACCGCTGTTTCCGCCTTTGCGCAGTAGTAGGTGTTTCATGAGACGTACTGAGCGAACGTCGTAATTGTTGCAACATCCGTGTGTGATTGACGCGATTAGGGATAGGGACTTTAAGGTTGCGCTCTCGGAGAGTAGCGTTTGAGTATCCAGTGGCAGTGGCCCCTTTTAGAGCAATACGACCCTCTGTCTCTCTTCAATCATCGTACCCGGTGCACATGATTGAAAGCGGATTGCCAGTGTTTCAGGCGCTGGAACTCCGGTTTGAATGATGCACTCAAAATAAGGAACGAGTGCGAGTGATTTCTCAGCGGCGAACAGTGCAGCGCAGTATACAAGTGTACTCTGGATTACTTTAAAATAGATCTTTCCGGGCTAAGCAACTCTTCAAACTGAAGTGTGTACTCAGTATGCGTCTACAGATGCATACTTGCAAGTACACATCTACAGATGCATACTTAAATGAGTTAGGTTAGGTATGCATTTGTAGACGTGTACTCAGCCAAGTATGCATCTGTAGACGCATACTGAGTACACACTTCAGTTTGTAGAGTACTGGAGTATCAACAACAACGAGTTCAATGCAATTTCGCTGCAAGTAGGTTGAGTCTTACAGTGTGGCGGCGCAAAGATTCGGTTATTTGCACAAAAAGCTTAGCCCCGAAAGGTCAATTGCTGATAGGTGTTTAGATCCGGGTAAATAATAAGTTATGACTTCAAAACCTTTATAGACCTCAAAACCTTTATAGACCTCAATGACTATTTAAGCAATGTCACAGTAATCCTGTGTGCACTTGTAGCGCTCCTAAAGGCAAGTTCATAATTTTTTGGCCTAATTAACACCTTATACGGTCATTAAGGGGAGGTTCTGAACATATTGCATTTTTCAAATTGAGCCCGAGTGTAATCATTTGTTGCAGATGTGTAGTACTTCATAGTTGATAGTCAAACATGAAATTTAGAGCTAAACACCTTCCTCCAAACCCAGTCGAAGAGGTTTTTCAGCCTATTTTAGCAATAGGGCCTATCTTAAAAATTCTCGTACTCAAAGTATTTTGACGTAAACTGATGATCTAGACATTTTTCACTTCTTTGGCTCATATGCAATAAAGCGTAGCATCACCTTGACAAGGGACCCAACAGATAAATCTTTGCGTTACTTTTCAGAAAAAAAAAAGACAGTAAAATATCAGGATTTTTACCATTTTCTTGAAATTCTAGTGACATGCTGTCCTTAAAACACAGCTTATGATTTTTTAGTGGTCCCAGTATCTTACTTATGCCACGGTTTATCAAGTATGAACCAAAGAAGTGAAATATGCCCAGAACATCAGTTTATGTTGTAATACTTTGCGTAGGAGAATTTTTCAAGATACGACTGCATGTAGCAGAAAATTCCCTTCGACTCGATTTGGGGCTAGGTATTGCTCTCCAAACTTCTAATTTAACTATTTACTATGAAATTCTTTAAATTTACTATGAATATTGAAAGTGGGACTCAATTTGAAGAAAGTAAGATTTTCAGTAGAACCTCCCCTTCAAATATGAGTGTTCTTTTTCACCCTCCGCGAGAAGTGGGCTACCGTAAACTCACCAAGTAACTATGATCGCTTGCCCTATGGGAATCCACGATTCAAGGAATGGAAGTCTTGGGTTTGAACACAGAATAAGGAATCGTTGTTAAGGGACTAGTTCAGGGGTCAGAACGTTCCCTCTTGACCCCGAGAAGGTTCACAGCCCCCTTCGCAGCAATAAGTTCGTTAATGAAGTGTCTCCTGTCTGCTCCTCCAGATGCTTCGTCGATAAGCCACGATGAATCACTATTTCTGAGTGAAAGTTCTGAATCAGATGGTTCTTCGAAAAGCGACGAGTTAAATTTACACCTGAGCGATGATCCCGGTAAGTAACAACATCTTACGAAATTCTATGCATTCAAATCCAATTTAAAAAAAACTCTTTATTTTTTTTTTTTTTTTTTAGAAGACTGTGAAACGCGTGAAGTAGATGACCAGTGCAGAAAGAAGTATGGTAATGTCCCTTTGAAATCATAGACCTCTTCTCTGCTGGTGAAATGATTTAATAAGGGGGCGGGCGAGGGGTGAATCACCCAGTGTTTTGGTGTACACATGAGTACAAGTTAGTACACCTAATGATAATGCTTATAAATTGGGCATATTGTTAACGTTTTTACACCTTATAGCGTTTCAAACCAAAGACAATACCGAATCCTGTACAAATTTGGTTATTTTCGCTCTTTTAATATTTGTTAGTACACCGAGTACGGGCTAATATGTGCACATGAGTGCACTAGTGATTCACCTCTCGAGGGTGGGGGATCACCAAGACCAAAATTTCAGTAAGAAACTTAAATAGACGTCCGAAGCGTCAAATGCTTCCAATCGGACGCATGCCTGAAAACAAATACATTTCGCGGTTCCAATAAATTAATCAAGCAGATCTTTTTAATGAACATTTTAGTTTGAAACACTGCTTTTTTTTAAGTGGGTCGTCTGGTAACCAGGATGCAGTATTATCTGAAAAATTGCTCAAACCAGCGTCTTTGGTACCTCCCCCTTCACTCCCCTGTGTAACGCCATATCTGGTCCTCATGGAGCTGTGTTTCATTTAAGGCATTACTGAGGCGGTTGTTTCTGTGAAGAGGGACCATCAACTGGACAAAATGGCTGCAAGTATCAACGATTCCAATAGGAACGATGCTACCTACAGGGCTCGAAGACTAGCCAAGATAATATCAAGTGTTGACGAAGAGAATGATACTGAATCAATACTTCTTGAACCCGACAAAGTTATCCCCTTCGTTAAAGAAAATTGGAGTGGCGTCTCCAGAAGGAATGCTTTCAACCAGATTTGCTCGTATTTACAGAAGTCTGACCTCAGCTATTCCAAAGTACTGAAATGTTTACCAGTGTACCGGTCAGAAAGACGGAAGGTGGACATCTTCCGCAGTACCTCGAAAGATTCTGGACGTGAGGCAAATGTGCGAAAGAAACTGTCCGACGCATCAGCAGCTGCATCTGTTTCAGCAGCAGAAAATCTTGAAACTTTGGAAAAGAATCTGAAGTTTGCTGTGGAAAAACAATCCTTCTGGATCAAAGAGACTGCAGGGGCGTGGGCTGCAGCTACCAAGGCTCTTTTTGTGATCATCGCTGCTGAAAACACTCCGAAGCATGCAGTAGCCCTGCGGTGTGTTGACGTTCAAGAAATGAGGAAGGAAAACGCTGGATTCACAATTGAAACGGAAAACCTAAAGTTTTCTTTCAAGAAGGCAACAGGGACTCTCTTATCAAGGTACGTTCGTAAAATGAGGATGGTCAAAACTCACGCCAGTCTAAACAGTGAGTAGATTAAGGGGGCAATACACTGAAAATGGCCAAAAACTGACTTGTGCGATTGCTCCCATACGCGTTGTTGAGCGTTTTTCAAACTTTTCATGTGTCAAGGCCTCACAAAAGTAATCATTTTAAGCCAAGAATGGCGTCGATCGGACGTCAGGGAGCGGAGCAGCAACCAACCAAATTTTCGTCAAAAGTCGAACTGGCGGGCATTCCTCAGTCCGCTAAAATGAAGATATCTCAACCCCGTTTGCGCTAAAATGTAGGTAATTGAAGCGGCTATCGCATGAACTAGGATTATGAACATAGAACAATCAAAAGTACAAAATTTTACGAAAAAAAAACTGTTTTGAACATTTTTGCAAAATCCTCAACAAGTGTTTTTGGATGAAATTTTGTTCTTTCGGTTGCTCGATGTTCATAATCCTAGTTCATGCGATAGCCGCTTCAATTACCTACATTTTAGCGCAAACGGGGTTGAGATATCTTCATTTTAGCGGACTGAGGGATGCCCGCCAGTTCGACTTTTGACGAAAATTTGGTTGGTTGCTGCTCCGCTCCCTGACGTCCGATCGACGCCATTCTGGGCTTAAGGGGAGGTTCTGGTGAAAATGCTATTTACTCCTAAATAGGTCCCACTGTGAAAAGTTGTTAAAAATTTGATGTCTTACCAAGTAATTATTTAAGGGGGGACCCTGGTGAAAAAATCGCCAAAATTCCAAAAAATAGAATTTTCAAAGTTCATAGATAAAAATGTGCATAGAAGGTTTCAAATTCAACAGGTGTTCAACCTTTAAGCTAAGTGGGTAGTTTCTTTATCATTTGGAAGGAAGTAACATTGAGATCAGTTGTCGTTGGCTTCTACGCTCAACTTCACAGCTTTGCTCAGTCGACAAAAAAATTTGTCGTAGAAAGACTTCCTGCGTTCCTGGTTGACACATACATGGGTCGTCTTGCATGGACTCTATTCATTGATGACTTGTCGACAAATTTTAGTGACGGAATCTTGATATCAGCCCTACTTTTTTTTAAACACACCTAAAAGTTTGAAAAAAGGGAAAAAAATCACTTTTTTATTAATGTTGAAATTTGAAAACTCATATCTCAGGACAGAAGTTGAATTTGAAAATTCCGTCACTAAAATCTCTTCTATACATCTTTAGGATAACCCATAAAAATTTTCAAGACTTTCCGTCCCAATGAAAGACGCAGGAAGATTTTTCCCCAACGCTCCAAAAAACACTAAAAAGCCACTTTTCTCAGAGACCGTTCAACATTTTGGGTTGAATTTTGTTTTGGGAACTCACCATATTGAACCTCATAATTAAGCAAAGTTTCAACTTTCTGGGATTATTTTGAAGCCTACTTGAAAGTTTCACCAGGGTCCCCCCTTAAAATTTTCAATGGGGAGGCACATTCTGTGCGCTGAACCCAGTCGCAGAGCCTTTTTCTCCTATTTAGGCTGTAACTTTAAAAATCTTCTTGCGCATACTATTTTGTCGTAAAAGGTTGGCCTTGACATTTTTCACTTCTCCGATTTATTTTGAAAAGATGCCGGCATGCAGAACTCAAAACGTTAATTACATTTTTATTCGCAAGCTTTCTAACCAAGCATTTCACTCTAATTGACCAAAAATGTACAAAATGGACAAATTTTAGGGACTTTTCAGCTTAAAAAGCTTACAATTAATAATGTAAGGGATATTTTGAGCTATGCATGCCGGCATCTTTTGAAAATGAATCGAAGAAGTGAAAAATGTCAAGGTCAACCTTTTACGACAAAATAGTATGCGCAAGAAGATTTTTTAAGATACAGCCAAAATAGGCTCAAAAAGGCTCTTCGACTGGGTTCAGAGCCTGGCATGTGCCTTCAAAAGTCAAATTTTAGTCTCCTCAAAGTAAGATTTTATATTCCGAACAAATTGTGACTGTGGGATCCATTTGGAAAATAGCAAGATTTTCACCAGAACCTCCCCTTAAAATGATTATTTTTGTAAGGCCTTGACACATGAAAAGTTTGAACAACGCACAACAACGCGTATGGAAGCAATCACACAACTCAATTTTGGGCCATTTTCAGTGTAATGCCCCCTTAAGGGGGCTTATACATGTTAAAAGCACTTTAAAAAAAAAATTGATGTAGGCGGATTAAGATTTTACAATTTCTGTGTTAAAATCCTTTTAGATAATTGAGTAAGCTTCATTTTGGCTTAAGGGAAAGTGACTTTGGACATTTTTTGGAGATTTAGTCGAAATGTTTAAAATTTTGCTTCTCGTTAAGATTTTGTTCGCATACTTGCTCAGATCTGTGGGAAAAAAATCAGGGAGACTCATCCCCAGTAGTGTCATAGAATTGACTACAATGGGCTTTATATCTGCAATAGTTTTCAAGAAAAAAAATAAAAACAATTTTTTTAACAATTTTTTAAACAAGTTTTTCAACAAAAAATTGTTTTTATTTTTTTTTCTTGAAAACTATTGCAGATATAAAGCTCATTGTAGTCAATTCTATGACACTACTGGGGATGAGTCTCCCTGATTTTTTCCCCACAGATCTGAGCAAGTATGCGAACAAAATCTTACGAGAAGCAAAATTTTAAACGTTTCGACTAAATCTCCAAAAAATGTCCAAAGTCACTTTCCCTTAAGCCAAACTGAAGCTTACTCAATTATCTAAAAGAATTTTAAGACAGAAATTGTAAAATCTTAATCCGTCTACATCAAATTTTTTTTTTTAAAAAAGTGCTTTTAACTTGTATGAGCCCCCTTAAGTGAATGTCAGACAACAAGTTACGGTGGAGCGATAGACCGACAATCGGATCTCGTTTCAGGAAATTAGGCGCCAAAGTTACACATTAAATCTAAATTCCAACTTAGCACTGAGATTCCAAACGCTATGAGTATAGCACGTATGGTGCAATGCAGCTGAGATATCGCACCATACGTGCAATGCCTCAGCCACATTGCACCTTACGTGCAATGCGTCCCGAAAAGGCCCTATGCTAATGCAAGGGCTTGGGAAGGCATTGCACCAATTGACGCTGTATTCATAGCGTTTGGATTCTTAGTGATCACACTTGTAAATGCAAACTTAGCAAGTATCATTTCACATGCGTGGGTTGTAGTCATGCGGTGGCATCCATGCAGTTGTAAGTGTGACGTTACACTGTCAGAAAACTCCGTAAAAATACGGAAATTTAACGGAGACTGTCCATTTTTTTTTAACGGAGATCTCCGTTTTCTTGAATTATGGATTTTCTCCGTAAAAATATGAAAGTTATGTATATAAGTGAAATAGAAGCCTTACTTATCAAAAAGAACAGACTAATTCACGTTATCGATGGGTTGGGTGACCAACTGATTAGGTGTTCCAAGAGTACGCCTTCCCTAAAGCAACCTCGCCTTTGGGTTTCCGTCCATTTATCCGATCCTGGTGGTCAAGTGGATCTTCAAACAGTTTTGGAGAATATCACTTTCGTCTTAAAGACCACTGTTTGCATTAACATCGGAGGTAGAAGGAGGGAAGTAAACCGTTAAAATGCGTTTATTTCTGCAAAAATGCGGTTCATCTCCGTAAAAATACGGAAAATCTCCGTAAAAATATGGAAAATCTCCGTAAAAAGATGGAAAATTTACGGAGCCTCCATTCCCAAAATTAGAGTAACTTTCTCCGTAAATTTACGGACTTTTTTTCTAACAGTGTAGTTCACGTTATTGGGTACTACACTGTTGAAAATAATCGTAAATTTACGACATTTTTTAGAACAATTATGTCGTTTGTAAACGACATATTTTGTTACGACTTACGTCGTAAATATGCGACTTGAGTCGTTAATGTACGACATATTTGTCGCTAACTTTGATAGCAACACGTTTCGTTTTAAAACGAATTAAGTCGTAATTTTACGACTTAATCGTAAGTTTACGAACAATCGTAAATTATCTTTGGAATATGTCGTGCAGTTATGACTTCAGTCGTACATTTATGACTCTTGTCGTAAATTTGTGCTATGAATCGTAAATGAACGACACAAATCATAAATAAGTGAGCAAAATTGTAACTTTTCACCAACTTTTCGGGGATTTCAGGTGTCAAAATATGTAATTGCGATTACGACATTGTCGTAGAGAAATAATTTCTTAGTCGTTCAGTTACGACGAAGCAGTTTAAGAACGATTTCCATCGCTATGAAAATTAGCGACTTTTTTGTCGCTAATTTACGACAGAATTTCTAACAGTGCTTGCAAGCGTTCGTCAGTACGTGTGTCCCTACAAAGTGTACGTACACCAAAAACTTACCTTCGATTTTGCGCTATTTTCGAACGCGGGTGGTGCCTGCACAACCTGCAGAACTTTGCTGAATGTTCTGAATAATTAATTCAGCATATTTGTACATGTTCAAATTGTTAAAACGGTTAGCTTCGGTTTAAAATTCGGCTTGGCACGATCAAAACATTGAACGTAGCCTCCAAAATTTATTCGATGTCCCTTCATAAACCCTCAACGGAATCACCCTAATTATTAGTTAATTTGATGCATTTTAGAGCATTTTAGGCGGATTCGGTTGGTGAGTGCCCTAGACTCCGACGAAGTCCCGGCCCATAGGCCCCGATACGACCCCGGCCCCGACCCGGCCCCGACCCGGCCCCGACCCGGCCGAGACCCGGCCCAGACCCGGCAAAGACCCGGCCCAGACCCGGCCGAGGGGCCGGGCCGGCCGACACCCGGTCGCCCTATAGGGACCCGGCAAAGCCTTGGCCAAGCCCCGACAGAGTCCACCCGAGTCCGGGCCCAAATCCGGCCACGGAGT